TCAGAAACTATGGGAGGTCACGTGTCATGGTAGTAGTAGGAGGGATGTCAGAAGGAGTCATAAGTCTCTCCTCTCCACATGGAAACTAGAGTCGGCAATGCTTTTGACAATGGGAATTCGCATGGTGAACACTGAGTAGCTAAGGCACACTAGACATGCAAGTGAGCACCTGACATCCCACATTCTCTCATTTAACTCAACAAAAAGGTAGGTTTTATGATACCAGTTTTGCAAAAGAAGAAATGTAGATGAAAGTTTAAATAACATGTCATATCTCAAGGTGATGAGTGGTGGGCTGGGATTTAAATGTGCCCTACTGCCTCTCAAAGACACTGCCACCTATACTGGAATTCAGGAATTTCCCCAGATATAATTTTCACTCACCCCTGCCCCCAATCTCAGAGAGCTTACACATCAGCATTTCTATTTTCCCTTCCTGGTTTGTCTTCACACCTTGGATTTTATCTTCTATTTAAATTCCTGGACAGCATTTGATAATCGGTCTCTCCTGCACTGGACCTTGACCACTGCAGTATTGGACATGGCTCCTGGAATTACTGGGACTTGTCTGCAAGGATGCTGGGAAGAAACACCTCTGCCTTCCCTCACTCAGACCCTGCCTGACATTGCACACCACTTTGAATGCTCCCCCACTTTAAATGGATTCTCATTCGACACATAATGTTCATAAAGAATATGATATACTGCATACACTTGAGAAACCTACCTCATCAGGCAAAAGGTGGGGTTACCTATGTAGAGCCACAGACACACAGTAATTACCATGTTCAGGTGGGTGCCGGTTTGGTAGGTGGTACAGGGGTGAGAACACTGGCAATGCTCAATTCCTGACTGCAACGTCAACGCTGTGCGACTTTGGAAAAGCTGACATTCATCTCTTGGTCTTAGTTTTCCCCTTTTAGAAAAGGGGGATATTAGTGCCTCTGTACTACTAGGGCTCCTACAGGTCTTACAGTGTCTTGTCCTACTCAGAGATATACATAAGCAATCTCACTTATTCACTCAATGCCTGTGAGATTGAACCACAGAGGGTGTGATAAAATAGTTCTGTGAATAAAGCAATTATTGATGGTGACTTTCCTCAATGAGAATTCAGTGTCTTGCCTACTTGAAGCCCAAGGGGGTGGACAGATGTAACTGAGGAAGAATGGGGGCTTGGGAAGTAGGGGACATGAGGCTGGAGGTCGGCCTGCAGAAGAGGGATGGTGGCTGAACACTGTATCCAAGAGATTTGGAAAAACTAGTGAAAGGGTATGGGCTGTGCTGCGAATGCTCATTTCTGATCCCAGTTGCCTCCTTGGACTGTCATGCATTGGGGCTGCCTAAAGCCAACACTTTCCCTGCTGCCAGAGCTGTAAACAAGGCCAGTTATCCCACCTCCCTTCTTTCCAGAGGCCAGATGATTTGGTAATTTGCCCCTCATTGAGATGCAAATTAATTGAAGTTCTTTAATCCCTGAGAAGGGACCCTCCCAATTTTTATTCAGGATGATGTCTCAAAGGTGGTTTGCAAACAGTACAAGCTGGGCAGCAGCCACCAGAGTCTAGGCACCGTCCCCAAGGGACCTGCCGAAAGAGCCCCTGCTAGAAAAAACTCTTAAGATTTCAGAACATTTGTGCCTCCTGTATGAAGGCTACCTTGCATTTTCCATATTTGATTTTCCCACAGTGACCAGCACTAAGACCTTTGAAAAGTGTAAGATGCCCAGTTGGGGCCAGCAAGAAAGGGAAGCTGGAAGGGCTCGATCCCACTTTACTTGGAGGCAGAGAGGGGAGGAATGGGGCAGAACAGCCACTGAGAGGCAAGGAGGGAGGCTGGGTCCCTATAGCCCAGGAGGAAGGAGTTTGGGAGTAAGAAGGGACTCTCAGGCTGTCCTCCATGGATTTTTTGGACAGAAGCACAGATAGGGAAAACCACAGCCAGACTATTCCCCCCCTCTCTCCCAGCAAGGAGCAAGCTCCTTAAAGGTAAAGACTTTGCACTTACCATGAAATTAAGTTTCTATTGAACTTAGTTTAAAATTAAAAATAAAACATGAAACTCAAATCACCTTCCCTTCTAACCCCTTCCCCTCTCAATCAAATGTTAAATATAAGTTCAAAAAATAATGAATTAAGCAAAGCCTTTTGCCACAATTTTTCCTTCTGCTAGAGACAGTTTTCTTGTCTCGGTAAATCAAGAAAAACATACCATTTCCCCACTAAACTAAACACAATCCCATATTATACAATTAACTAAAACACAATTGTATGTAATACAATTATACAAGACTACAATTACACAAAAGTAATGATGCAGTGTAAATGGCAATGACTTTCATGTAATCAAAAATAATGAGAGCTTCCTTGATTAGAAATTAAGGTATCATAAGAGTCCCCTATTGATAAATGTTCCCTGCATTGTTCCACACTTTGCAAAAGGCTGTACCAGCTGATGAAATAGAATGGTTTCCGCTCCCCATTACTAAAGACTACAGGGGTGGCAACCATTCCCTGGAATATCTTTTATCCTGAGATCTCTAAACAAGCACATTGTAATGAAGCACACATTTTATTACCCACTTTTCCAGCTGGTCAAATAGAAAAAAAAATGAAGCAGAAGAGCTAAGAAGTCTGTGTGATCTGCTGACTATCCCATGTGTAGTGATATTAACAGAGAAACATGTGCACAATTCCACCAAATTACATTGGTTGTTCCCAGCCTTAGCAGAGACTATGTTCTGGGAAGCTGATTTCTATGCCACTCAGCCAGGGCACCTGCTGCTTCTCACCTTTGCTCCCCTGGACAAGAGTTATCTTCCAATCCACCTTTCTCACTTTTTCCTGAGTACTCTTTCTGCTACGAAAATGTAGGGAAAGTGAAGGGAAATGGTCAGGGCCCCTCAGATGTTCAGAATCTTGCTGAACTTTTGATGTAAATATGCACATGCACCCAGGCACTCCTTGGTTATTATCTAATGTAATTGCACATGTGCAGCCAGGTGTCCTGGGTTATGGACTTAAGTATAAAGGAAGAGTGGCTCTAATCCACGGGGACCCCCACCCCCAGGATGCCCCCTGGGGGGCAACGGGAAAGCCACTGCTGTTGCTGCTGCAGCCACTGTTCCTGGGATGCCCTGACAGACAACCACCACTGCAGCTACTGCTGCTGTAAGCTTCTGCTGCTTCTGCTGAGGACTGAGCTCCTGTTGTCTGCCAACAACTTCCAGGATCTTTCCCAATTACCTAGCATGGACTTGCATGTGAAGGGTTTGTGACCCAGTCTGTACAATGGATTTGAAGGGTCTGACTCCTAGCCCTGACAATACAAATGGAATCTTAGTATAACTAAAATAATGAAACATTTTGGCTTTAGTTATTAAAATGCCTAGCCATACAATTAATGTAACTATTGCCTCAACCTGACAACTGGAATATTCCCGTAGCTTTACAGCCAATCTGACCACCTTCCTTGATTCTTGCCTAGATCATGGAGTCAGATTTCTCTGGCACATGAAGGTCCTCATGATTGATCCTGCCCACATCTCTAGCCAGATTCACACCATGTGCTCTACCCACCATCCCTACTGAGGTATATTTTATCAGCTCCATTCATTTTAAGACACCATACTTTTATGTCACTAAGAAAAATAAATGTTGCCAATGTAACTATTATGTACCATGAATTGTAAAATGCTTCTCCATATTAGAGATTTAAAATGAAAAGAATAGTATATTGAGTTGATGAAATACTTGCAAGCCATGCTTTCTCCTGTTTCTGTGCCTTTTCACACTCTGTGTTCTGCCAATCCCCCTCAGTCTCCTCTCCATTCCCACCCCCCAGGCCAAGCCTGCCTGTGCCTCCTCTTTTAAAATTCAGTTTAGCATCGCCTTTGAAAACCTTGACCTCATTGTCCAGGGCTAGACTAAGTTGCTGCTGTCATGTGTCCTATAAATAAGGGTGCATTTCTGGGTCATTTATCTCACTTCATCATAACAAATAATTTATTCCCCTTATGAAACATGAGAGATACTGTATATCACCAACACGTCAGCAAGCACTTAATAGGTATTATTCACCCATTCAGTAAACATAAATAAGGGTGCATTTCTGGGTCATTTATCTCACTTCATCATAACAAATAATTTATTCCCTTATGAAACATGAGAGATACTGTATATCACCAACACGTCAGCAAGCACTTAATAGGTATTATTCACCCATTCAGTAAATGTTATTTGGACTGGGGTGAGTAGATTTAGATAAAGGAAGTAGACATTGGAGAAAAAACATGGAGAACCTGGTAAACCTTGTTGAAAATTCAGAATTCACCCTCTCTGTTTTTCTACAGGGATCATTGAATCTAGAAACTTCCAATATAAGAGGAGCCATAACCCAGAAGAAATGGAGAAAGAAATTGAGATTCTGCTGGATTTGCGCGCTGTGGTGTAGAAGTGGTGAGATTCTCTAGCCAGGGTAGGGCTCCCTCAGGGCCAAAGATGCAGTGGGTGAGGGCAGTGACAGCAAAGATCAGCCACCCCCAGTGGTCATAGTTTACTGCCAGGCACTGCCAAAATGTGTGTTATAGAATCCCCCCAGAGGGCCTAATGCTTATTTGCCTGTATTAGAAAGGACACCCCCTCCAGTAAAGAATGAATTGGTTTAGGAGGAAGTAATTCCTCCCTCTTTTTTGCTTTACTCTTAACTTCAAAGTAATCAAATGTTGTTTATGCATAAAATTTTAATCCTTTCACAAATTTGTATTTTGATTTAATTTGCATATCCCATTTACTGCAAGTCAACATGAAGAGAGACTCAACAAATTTAAACCATTTTTCTCTGGGCCTGAAATCCTTTCAGAAATATTTTCCATTAGGCGACTCAATTATGTCTAATGTAGCTAATGTCAGTGGATTAGAATTTTGCTTAAGAAAACTCATATTTAGAACAGTGAGAACGGGAAGGGGGTGGGAGAACAGAGGAGAAGAGACCATAATTACCTGTCTTTGATGCTACACAGATCAATGTGTAAATCACTAAAATTCCCCAGGGAACCTTGCTGAACTGAAATGAGGTCCTTGGGCTGGTTATCAATAAAGATGAGCCTCATGCAGCCTTGGAAAGCCTTAATGGGATTTAAGCATTGGGAATCGGTGAGATTGTCAGGGCACCCTGTGGGACAGAAAAAAGAGATGAAGAAGAATACTGAAAAGATCAGTCATTGCTTTGGTGACCTATTGATGGAAGACCTTGAGGTCTAATTATTTTGGTGCTTTTCATTCATAGCAGTGCACGCACTTTTGTTGTAAATCCTAGCATTCTCAGGGAGGGGACAGAATTGGTACAAAATGGGGAATACTCAATCACTGTATAGAAAACGAAACTGTGTCAAAGGGAATACCAGTACTATAACATCTTGTTCTGATTTTTTCCCATCTATTGGCAAGTTATTTGCCATTCTTTTGCATGGTATCTTTCACTCATGCCAAAGAAGACACATATTGTAACTACTTGGGAAATTTTGGTTCTGTCTCGAAACACACGTCTAAATGCACAATTCAATTCTGAATTACACTTGCAAAGGCAATTGTGATTTGGGTAAGGATGGCGGCAGAGTAATTGTCTGTTTAATTTTTGGCATTAACAGGCTTAGTTCCTGAGAAATGTACACACAGGAATGTAACTGGAATTTTGAAGTGATATGCAAAGCAAATCAGACATTAAGGGAACCGAGTGTTTAATGCACCTAGTTATAGGGCTATAATAGCATACATGAAAGGTTAACACCATACCTTTCCAAAGGGCGTTCTTTTAAAGAAATACATTACACTGATTTAGCATAGCTTATAACCAGAGCATATCTACTTCACATTAAGGCAGGTGTAGAGTACACAGGGATATGAGTGCTTTTGCTCTTTACAAACTCCATCCCAATGGTTTTAATAGGTTCAGAGCATATGGGGATGCAAGCTTGAAAACACGGCAATAACCCATAAATAATTGGGAATTATTTCAGCCATCTCCAATAGACAGTCAGTGCTGGGCTGAAGCCCGCCAGCTGGTTAACAGCTCACAGGCACGCATAAAATGAAGAGAGATGCTACAACTTCTAATTGAAGCTGTAGAGAGAATTTATGTAAGTTGACTATTATTACTGAAACTCATTTTTCACCTTCCTTAAGTTTACAGTCTACCTGTGGGGCGTTCATTTAAACACTGTTCAAATCACAGATAAATCTTCGCCTCATAAGCCCAGCACCCCTTAAAATCTACCTCTGAGAACACTTTTCACCTGGGGGATGCAAGCCATTTTGCCTTTGAGGCATGTCAGATGCTTATTGTACCATAATTATTCAAAAACATTTTCTCCAGAAATAAATTTGAGATTGCTTTTCTCTCTGTGTTGCTAAAATATTGCATAAAATGAAAAATTACAGTCTCTGAGGTCATCTCTGGGAAACCAAGACCCTTGTTCTGCAGCCTTTATGCAACAATTTCTCTCATTCTTTTGCTTTCACTAGTGAGCCGTGAGGAACACAGTTCCAGATTTGAATTCTTGCTCTACTACTTATTAGCTCTATGGGCTTTCACAAATTATTTTATTACAACAAATGCTAGTCTTATTATCTATTAAGTGCAGATACTATTATCAACCTCACAAAGTTGCTGCATGAATTAAATGAGATGCATAAAACATTTACAGAGAATGAATGTGCAGTCCCTTTCTAAAGGAATTTTTTATACCTACACAGGTGGAAAAGATTGGAGGTGAAGGACACAGGCTCTTCCTCTCACCCTAAAATCAAACCACAAATCTATTGCTTCATACTGATTCCTTCCCAGGAGACTCCAGTATGTCTACTGCACCCGTGAAAGGTCCCTTTGGTATTTCAAAGCTGTAACCACATTTCATTGGTATGAGAAAAGGGATTTGTAAATTTTATTTAAGAGACTGCAGTGCATACTTTTATACAATACTCCTCTTCAATTTCCTAATGGAAGAAGAACTGGCAACTGTAGCCCAGACCTCATCCCATGGCCATATCTATAAGAGCTGAAGCCAGTTCGGCCATTCCCTGCCATGTAGCAGGCTCTGTGCTGTACGTTTAAAACGCAGTCTCATCTAATTCTCTCAGCAGTTCTGAAGGTGAGCTTATTTCCCCAAGTTCCAGATAAGGAAGTTGAGGGACTCTAAGTGTCATCTTGCTCAAGGTCAGACAGCCATTGAGGTTAAATCCTCTTCGGAGATTGTTTCTATAATACAAACAACTGACTAAGAAATTAGATATTAATTTTTAGTGAAAGCAATACCTTTAAAATTATATATATATATATATATATATATATATATATATGCACTTATAAAACTGCAGTAGATACCTGATGGTATGTTTTTCACCACCACCAGTTTGCCATTGTGTTTTCTTCATTGGAAAGGTTTCCAGGATTCACCTAACATTGGAGAGGAGACTCTCCAGTTGGCTACTCCATGTGGAGCTACAAGTTCATGGACCTCCTAGCTCCTCCCCATTTCTGCCTGCCCCTCCATGGGCATAGCCTCTAGGGGTGTGGGGGAAAAGAGGACAAGGAACTAAAAAAGCAACATGGCAGAGGAGTGGTCTAGATGGCTGAGCATGCTGCTGTGCCTTTCCACCTGATTTTTCCTCTTGTAGGTACTGCTGACTCTTGGTACAATTTCCCCAAGTTTTCAGCTGAGTTTCTCCTTTCCAGTGTGATCATAGAGTTTGGCATGGCTACAGAAATCTCCTTTGGATGTGTTATGTAACAGCAACTCTTGTAGCTAAAGTTCTTTTCTTCCTCAGCACTGACCTAGATAATTTCTATTTGCACAGCTGTGAGAGACTTTGCTTCTCACTATTTTGGTCTTGAGGGTGTGTGTGTGTGTGTGTGTGTGTGTGTGTGTGTGTGTGTGTGTGTGTGTGTGCGCGCACTGAGAGAATGGCCTAATTGACAAAGAGAATCATCATAGAGAAATAATTGTCCACTGCATTCTCCATCCCTGCCCCCCCCCGCTCCCCCTTTACTTTCAATCTCAAAGACTGGAGAATTTACCTCCAAAGTAGTAGCTATTTCCAGAATAAATCTGTACCCAGGTGGTGTCCTGAGCTGGGGATGAGGCATCATTATCCAGGGTGAGAGTGATACGGTTCCTTCTGGCATTGATGCTAACTGAATGCCACAAGCCATCATTCAAGTTGCTGCCTGCAAGAGAAACAGGAAGGGCAAGTGTAGAGATGATTGCTTTGGGAGGTTTGGAGAAAGTGGGTCTCACTTCCCAGCTGCTGTGCTCCAGGTGCTTTCTCAGGGTGGACTAGCTCGTCACTTGGCTCCAGCCAACCCCCCAGCAGTTTCACAAGAGTCATCTTTCTTTCTCTTTTTACCACTTAATTCTAGCTTTCTTTTCTGTCTTTTTTTTCTTTCTTTCTTTCTTTTTTTTTTTTTAAGTTGCTAAACCACTTCTGATATGTTCAGGTTAAAAGCAAAAGAGCAAAACATAAAAATGTATATATACTACAGCCAAAATCATGTTATATATTAATTGATCTATTGATGCATTAATGCAGAGGGAAAAACTAAAATAACAAACAACAGCAACAAATCCACTCAAAATAATCCTAGCAATTTTATCATTGGGCAGGGAGGTTATAGGAATTTTAGTATTCTCACTTTTCTACAAACAACTTATATCCTGCTTTGAGTAAAGAGCAAATGATTTTTAAAGTAGATGAGGAAAACTAGATTTCAGTGATGTGCCAGGCAGAGGCAGTCTCCTGTTGGAGAGAGGGAACAGACTAGCTCAATTCCAACCTTTTCCATAACTGATTACGTGATGTTGCATAACTTACCTGTCTTTGCTAGGCTTTGATTTTATCATCTGTAAATATTATAATCCCTACTCTGTATTATTGTTAAAGGGATCAAATGAGATCAGGTAGGAAATTGTCTACGGCATTTTGGGGGCATAGTGGGTGCATGCTCAGAGTTCAACTCTCTCCTGTTCTTTCACTCGTATGTCTGTGATGCACACTGCACTGCTGACCTACCTGCCGTATTGAGGAAACTGTACTGGAAACTAGTCGTGAGAATTTCAACTATTTCCTCTAAAAAGCTTATAACCTATTAAGACCGTATCCTGTCTGTGCAGAGTGTCTGCTGAAGGAAACAGTTATATTAAC